TAACATCTAAAGCAATAAAATTTAAATACGTGGATTATTACTTTTTTGGGTTGAGTATCCCTTTAAATAAATGATCATATGTTGAACTGATGACGGACTTGGCTGAATACAATGGATAAATTGACCTGCTGTAGTCATTATACTACCTGAAGACTTACCTGAAAAAGAACATGACTGTGCAAGGATCATACAACTCATACATCTTGTTGAAATCTGGCACTTCGGTGATATCCACAAGATAAATGACTGCAAAATTCTTCACCTGAGGAAACACGTGATATTAGACATAAAACATTGATAGACTAACACTAATATACATAATTATGCCCAAAGCATTGGTGTAATGAAAGATCAGCTAAACATATTCATACACCACACATAACAGCTGATCTGACGTGTTCACGTTCAGTTCGGTGGTTGAATATTAGGACGCTGTAATACCTTTTCGGCGATGCTGTACAACACTTCATCCATTTTCATACACGTAGGGTCCCAATCGTGGCCGAATCGTATAACAATCACACGGTCTTCCTCTGATAAAATAGCCTGGTCCACTTGCCAGCCATTGTGAAGATGAGGGAGCATGTACGACATTTTGAGGGAGATCCAAACACACTTCTAAAAAGACACACGAGGTTGTCGTCAAATTCATTTGCTCGAGAACCGCACGCATTGTTTTACTAAACTGTTCAAACGTTATAAAATAGGATGCGATACTAATTGTTTACATTTCACACGTTGGTTTCTCATTAGCAATTAGCTCGGAATTCTAGAAAATAATAGCTCACACCAACAGAAGTTTTCTTCAGTGAAATATTAGAGCAATGAAAAAGGAGAAAAACTTTTAAAGGGGAATGTAAACCTTACCTCACAATTTAAAATAACCTTGTCCTTTAGATTAAGTGTGTGTTGTCCGTTTATTAGATCTGAAGTCTTCGTCGTCGTCGTCTTCTTCTTCTTTTGGTTAATGGCGGATTGAAAACAACTTTTAGGTGCATACCGCCACCTACTGTACAGGAGTGTGCAACATTATGTCATTTAGAGAGTGTTTTCATATTCTCTGAAGTCTTCTTCTTCTTTTTGGATGCTTTATTGCGCGTGGCAAAACAGCTAAGATGGTGCATTTACCGCCACCAACTGGACAGGAGTGTGAAGCGTTGACTGGGAATTAAAAAAAACGCTTTGATACTGGCCTATATTCTGTTGAACAACCCTGTTTCCCTTATAAACCCTTGTCTCTTTCTGTGCTTTACAAAATATACTTATTACTGACAGGTCATTAATTCCAATTAAATGACAATGTCTTAATGATTCTATAAATTGAATTCTTTCTCTGTTATATTTTGAACAACTGTTTCTGGCAGGCCACTGTGCAGTTTTCAGATTCTCTTTTCCCTATGATAAACACTCTGAAGTCTACAATAGAGAATTTTTTTATTATTATTATTATTATAATGTATTCAAAGAGTCATTGAGGAATTAGACTTAAGATGCGTCAACTTCACTTATTTGCCCTTAATCACAAACAAATATGCACATCAATTAAGTGTTATGGCAAAATATGTTAAATACTTTGCTATTTGTTTTATAATCACCATGTATTCAGCCATTGTGAACTCATTTTATGTTATAATGTTTATACTTTTAAAAATTCATGTACCATTTAAATCTTACATTAATTTAAGACCATTTAACATTAAGCTGAGAAAGCAAAAAGGTACTTAGAAATGGATAAACTTTAAAGAAATTTTGTCCATGGACTTTTATCTTCAACATTTTAGGTTCAATGTAGGTGTATTAATGTATGAAGGAAAGTGTATATCTTGATAAATCCAAAAAAAAAAAAAAATGTCTTCGGACATGTAAACGTTAACAACCAATATATTTACTAGTCAAAACATATCCATAGAGCGTTTTTAGTCATATATCTTACGACAGAATACTCTTAAAATTTAACTGGCAGCATGAAAAATGTGTCAGCAAGTAAATATTGAGAACATTTTAGTTCTTCAAATTAGATTTATGCTCACAACAATGAAGGTATATTTTCCCCATTTGTGTACTGTAAATAAATACTAGTTTAAATAAACTACATACTGGTTAACTGACACATTTTGTTCTCTGATAATGACAATAAAGCTTGAGGTTTGACAAGGGCCATTACGACACATGAACATACAATTGAAAGAAGTGCAGTTGTATGTATATATGCTTTAATTTATTTACACAGCTTTAATTTTGTAAGCTTAGATGTTATTGTTTACTATACTGAACAGTTTTATTTTATCTATTTTATTTATAATGAACAGGAATAAAATAGGAACTCAAGAATTTACAAGATATCCTGATGCTTACAATCATAATACAATTGAAATTAACTGCATCCAAATCAAACTCCTCTGCAAAGCTCCACTCTTATCAACAAGTATCAGTTGAGAGGATGTCACTTGGGTAAGCAGCATTACTTCATATTATAAGAGAAAACATTTTTGGCAAAAAATCTGATCAAAACAATAGTTTGAATATACCATATTTATAAAAGTATAAGGCAAGCAAAATAGAAATTTAACAAATGGAACTGATTAACAGAAAGATACATGGTCTAAAACAAAATGGAAACAGGTAACCTCATAAAGTCTTACATTCCAACAAATATATAAAGAATGTCACAAAAAATAGTTTATGACATTTGGCAAATATGAAAAGTATAATCACACAAACGTTTTCAACCCTAGAGCTATAAATGGACTACAAACATCTATTTTTACATGGACCTAGCGTGAAGTGATGCCTCAGTGAAAAGTAATGGATGTATACTTTAAAATGGTTAATAGGAAACAAAACAAAAGTATTCACACAAGTTTATGAACAGCAGCCTAAAATCAAACACATTTTCGCTTGTTTCAATCTCTCAAGTTCTTCTTGGTTAACAGTTTAACACTAGTTTCGGTGAGAATGGAACATATTTTGCATTGTTTCAAGGAACACGTAACGGTTTAGGCTCTCAGTACAATTTGCTTTCAACTCCTCCTTGTCTTTATTACTAATGTGAAGCTACTCTTGGAGGTCCTCCATCTCGGTGTCTGTCACGGTGATCAACTTCTCCGGCTCAATCTCTGGGATGAGGAGATTATGCTTCAATTTCATCAGCTCTGTCATATTGAAGCCTAAAAGTACCACAGCCTTAGTTTTCTGTATGTTCTTCAGACATCTGGTACGCTTTGAGCTAACCTGGCAAGCAATGTCAGTTTTGTTAAGCAGCAAGCGGCTACTCAGGGCAATAATCTCCTTCTTGAGCGGGTAAGGCTGTGTATTAAAGTACTTATTGACAAACTCACGACGGTCTTCAAAAGAGCTCAACTCCATTCCGGCAGGATCCAATGCTAATTGTACGGAAGGATCGACTACTGCTTCAGGTGAGGGGACGGTCAGACCAGCCAACCTATCTCGCTCAAGTTTTCTCTTCCTTGCCAACCGTTCCTCCCGCTCTCTCCTATTCGCCTCCATAGCTTCTCTGAAGGCTATTTCAAGGCGCAGCTTGCTCTGCACCTCTGCTTCAGTTTCTGGTAGCTGCATGGCAGGAACAGAAGCTTGAACTGCAGTCGGGGTTGGACCAATGATTTGTTTTGGATGAGCTGGGTATGATACAACTGCTCGGTTTGCTCTAGGAGTAACAGCTAATCCTAAATTCAGTTTATCACTATCCTTGAGACTCTTCGGTGCACTGCGACATTTAGCCAAGTGGACAATGATGGCCTTGGTAGTGGTTTTCCCAGTGTACACACCACCACAGTAGAGGCATCTGTACGATGGGGTTTTAAGTATAGCATGCAGAGTGGGCACAATGAAATGCTTCTCTTTGAGGTGCATTTGATAGCATTCCTTGTTCAGAAGCTTCTCTGAGCAGAAGGGGCACTCTGTGCTGTCAGGCTTGGGTGTGGGCATGTTGCATGGTGTGGACAGCTTGCTAATAGCCAGAGGATTGTTGGGCAACATCTTCACAAAGATCAGATCGAGGGAGCTTGTGACCAATGCAAGATTGAGCTCCTTTTCACCCATAATTAGTTTAGGAGCCGTGGTCCTGATGTCGAAGTAAGGGAAAAGCAGATTCCCCGAATCATCAGTATAGAGTCGGTATTCACGCCTCATGAAGTCACAGTTGCTCTTTCGGTTCACATTATGTTCCATCTGGATATGGTCGACAAGCTGCTTGATGGAGTAGAAGAGCCCCGAACAGAACAAGCAGTTCATGCCATGAAGCAGGTGTTCAAAGACTCCCTTTTCTGAAATCAAGATCTTACATGTCAGGCATTTCACTGTCTTGTCTGGCATCTTTTTCAAAAATGGAGCACGAGCAGCTAGACCAATCTTGGGCATTTGAGCTGCCTCTTTGTGAACCTCTGGATGGGACTCATAGATATCAGACGGGAAGAGCTCATTACAAATAGGACACGTGATCCACTTCTTGGTTTGCTTGGGGGCCGGCAAAGAGCTGTTTTGTTTGTTTTGCTGTACAGGTGGGTTGTTCTGGGATGCAGGCAAGGGGGGTTTGCTGACTCCTTGGGAGTTATTTCCTTGGACCGATAGGACCTGCAAAGGTGCAAGAGTGTAGGTGGGCAAGCCGTCGACTTTGTTGCCAGTGGGGATCAAATGGCTCAGAAGGGATTGAGAGGTTATCATGGTGCCTCCAGAAGCGGGTTGATTTAGGGGCATTCTTGGATTAGCAGTGAAGGACTGAGGTGCCGGTGGCCTAACAGCAGGTACATTAAGGCAAACACCTGGCGGTAAGACAATTTGGCGGGAAACTGGTTGCAGTGGTGACTGGCTAGGTAGGCCTACTCTGACAGACACCTGATTGGGAGGCATGCCGCTAGGAGCAGGAGGCACGGCAGGTCTGGTCATTTGGGTGTTCTGAAAAGACAGTGGGACTCCAGGCCTCAGTAAACCCTTCGCCTCAGCGCTTGCAAGCTGAACCAGAGCAGAAGCTTGAGTTGGGAGAAACGCCTGGCTGGTTCCAGGGGCAGCAATGACTGCAGAACCACCATGTCCTGGTCCTGTAACTCCACCAGTGGCCAGTGTAGCGGTCACAGCTGGCTGATCTTTCATCATCAAGACAGCAGGAGTGCTTTGCGTTTTCATTGCTAGAGCAGGGTACTGTTTCTTACTTTCTGTTTCAAAAATTAGAGCTCTGATATGAACATCCAGTTCTTTGTGCTTTTCTGAGGTTAGAAGATGATACAGCAAGTGTTCGGATGTCTCAGCTGATACGTAACACTTTTTGCAGAAGAATTTCTGAGAACTGTCTCCTAGGGCCACAAGTTCCCGCTCCGATCTCTGCCCGGCGTATTTATTCAAAGTGGAAGTGTAGTGATAAAGAAGAACATGCTTTTTCACACTATACAAAAGAGTATCTTGTATATGGCATCTTCGGCACTGAAACGTGGTGCCATTTACAGCCCTTGGAGGCAGCTGTGGGACAGTCGGAGTTTCTAACTTTGTGTCCTCAACATGGAACAATTTGAGGTGCCTGGAGACCACTCTGGGGGGGGCTATAAATGGGCAAGAAGTACATGCTGAAAGCTTGCACAAACGCTCTTCTTCATCATGGTAGCGCTGAATGTGGGTTTTGTAGGCATGCCAGGATCTTGCAGAGAACTCGCATAAGGTGCAGCACAATCCTCGTGTCCGATATTCCCACTGAGGATGGAAAACAGAATTTCAGCCATTTGCCATTCAATATTCAGAGATGCTCATTATTTAAACAATTTTTGCTCAGTAAAGCTAAGCTAATTTACTAAAGTGACATTTTAAGTTCACCTTCTTTTTCCACCGGCCGTCAAACCCATCAGATAAACTGCACCAGTCTGTGGCATCAAAAACATTGTCCCCGGGGTAAAATTCCTGGAGCTCCTGATAAACAAAAAAGAGAAAGAGAAATAACATTTCAAATGTAAAGACATTAAGTAAAAGGCTATTTTAATACAC